TATTTTCTCGTAGGATATCATGAATCTCAACTGCCCTGTGGCTGTGCCTTTTCCATTAATAACCAATTCGGTGTGTCACTTCTCCCGCTCGCTCCTTTTCTCTCTCGCCACCTTTTTTAAAGTAATGAGTCCATTGCTTTGCCTTAATAAATTGAATCGTTCTCTCAAGGCCACGTGAAGATAGAGCCACAGATGGACAGGCTGTGCGCAGGAAATAACCATAAATCCTTTGCTGTCAGAGGGGCGGTTCCGGGGCGACAGAAGAAGACGATCCCGATGCTCAATTGGGATCACGGCACGATTACAAGAGGCACAGTTAAAGGTGGATTCTCTCCTTTAAAGGTGTCCTTCAGCCGCCATCGGACCAACAATACCGTGTCCTTTTTGTTCATTGCTCTCTTTGCTGAGAAAACGCTCACGACTCAGTCCGAGAATCCCATCATGCGCGTGGATCAGAGGACCGATGATCGCGCCGCCATTTTGGAGCGTAGATTTAAATAGCACGGCGCCTCCGGGTCGATATACATTTTAGCGTTTCTTTAATTGGCAGCTAGAAAAAGGGGTGGAGGGAACGAAGCAGCGTGGAGGGAGAGGAAGGGGAAGAGGGGGCAGGAGGGGAGGGATCCGTGTTGACTTCCATTCAGGAGGAAGATATCTTGTCTTTTTATGCGGCCCGTGTCATATTTATTGCATAAAGGTCGGAGTGTTCATTTGTTCAAAGTCAGCGTTTTGCCGTCTCTCCTGCGTGTAATGAATGCAGGCGGCTGTGTCATTATCGGACCTCTGAGGATTACGGGCTTGGCTGACTGTGATGACTGCATAAAAGCAGGCAGGACTCACCTGCGCACCTCCAAATGGGCTCCTAGAGCCGCGCTGGAGCCCAAATGGCATTCAGGGTCGCCGTACGGGTGGGGGCGGGTGGGGCAGGTTGGGGGGGGCGAGGCCGCTAAAGGTTACGGGATGTGATCTAGCGTTTTAAGGCGGAGGACGACTTGAATGGATTTCTGTAATTTACCTTATTGAGGATAATACCTTGGGGTGGGGGGGCCGGGGGTGGGGGTGCAGATTGTCTTTGCGTGTTGACCTCTGCTGACCGGGCCCGTCTATTGACAGAATAATCCCAGAGATTAAGTTGGCCTCGACTAT